CTGGGAAACTTAAAAACAAGAGAGTGCTCTCTTGGTAGCTGCCATTCTGACTGGGGTGAGATGAAATCTTAGAGTATCTGTTTTCATTTGTATTTCTCTAATTACTAAAGATGTTGAACACTTTTTCATTTATTTGTTGATCAGTTTATTTATTCTGAGAAGTATCTGTTCAGTTCTTAGCCCATTTATTGATTGGGTTGTTTGGGTTTTTTTGGTATTAAGTCTTTTGAGTTCTTTATATATCCTGGAGATTAGTGTTCTCTCTGATGTGCATGTGCTAAAAATTTGCTCCCATACTGTAGGCTCTCTCTTCACCTCAATGATTGTTTCCTTTGCTAAGAAGAAGCTCTTTAGTTTAAATCTCTCCCATTTATTGATTGGCTCTCTCTTCACCTCAATGATTGTTTCCTTTGCTAAGAAGAAGCTCTTTAGTTTAAATCTCTCCCATTTATTGATTCTTGATTTCATTTCTTGTGCTTTAAGAGTCTTATTAAGGAAGTTGGAGCCTAATCCAATATGATGAAGATTTGGGCCTACTTTTTCTTCTGTTAGGCGCACGGTATCTGGTCGAATTCCTAGGTCCTTGATCCACTTTGAGTTGAGTTTTGTGCATGGTGAGAGATAAAGGTTTGGGCTGGGGATGTGGCTCAAGTGGTAGCGCGCTCGCCTGGCATGCGTGCGGCCCGGGTTCGATCCTCAGCACCACATACAAACAAAGATGTTGTGTCTGCCGAAAACTAAAAAATAAATAAATAAATAAATATTTAAAAAGAGAGATATAAAGGTTTAATTTCATTTTGCCACATATGGATTTCCAGTTTTCCCTGCACCATTTGTTGAAGAGGCTATCTTTTATATATCTCCACTATATGTTTTTGGAACCTTTATCTAGTATGAGGTAACTATATTCATGTGGGTCAGTCTGTGTCTTCTGTACCATTGGTCTACATGTCTATTTTGGTGCCAATACTATGCTGTGTTTGTTACTATTGCTGTATAGTGTAGTTGAAGGTCTGGTGTTATGATGTTTCCTGCTTCATTTCTTTTTTTTTTTTTTTGCTAAGGATTGCTTTGGCTGTTCTTGGTCTCTTATTTTTCCAAATTAATTTCAAAAATTGCTTTTTCTAGTTCTATGAAGAATGTCATTGGGGTTTTAATAGGAATTGCATTAAATCTGTTCAACAGTTTTGGTAGTATGGCCGTTTTGACAACTCTGCCTATCCAAGAGCAGGGAGATGTTCCATTATCTAAGTTCTTCAATTTCCTTCTTTAGTGTTCTGTAGTTTTCATTGTAGACGTCTTTCACCTCTTTTGTTAGATTGATTCCCAAGCATTTTATATTTTTTGAGGCTATTTTGAATGGAGTAGTTGAAATTGATATTGTATGATATGCTGCTTATACATTCATTAACTATTTTTTAAAATATTTTTTAGATGTAGATGGACACAATACCTTTATTTTTATGTGCTGCTGAGGATCGAACCCAGTGCCTCACACGTGCAAGGTTGTGCCTCCATTGAGCCACAACCCCATCCCCGCATTAATTATTTAAAACAAAGAATATGACTTATTTAATTATCAGAATTTCCCATTCTCATCACTTTTCTGCCCTTATATTCCTGATAAACACATTGAGCTCTGTTCAAGATATTACTGTTTCCAGGACATTAAAATTAATATATTTTAGGGCTGAGGATGTGGCTCAAGCGGTAGTGCGCTCGCCTGGCATGCGTGCGACCTGGGTTCGATCCTCAGCACCACATACAAACAAAGATGTTATTTCTGCCGAAAACTAAAAAATAAATAAATATTTTAAAAAAAATTAATATATTTTATAAAGATTAAAAACTCCTTTAAAGGAAGTCATTTAGTTTTGGTCATTTTTTAGAAATAATAAAAACCTTTACTCCTTCAGTTTAAAATGGCAAAATATGGATTTTTGAATGCCTCTGCACTGACTTGTGTTATATTTAATATTTCTCTTATAGCTAGTTCTTATATAAAGTAGCTCATTCTTACCTTGTATTCTGATAATTTCAGTGGAGTGTTTTTTATGTGTGTTTCGATTGAAGCTTTGGTACAAGAGAAGGGCCTGGTATTATTAGAATACCATGGATTTTTTAAGTTTCAGTGCAGTGATTGTACGTTGGCTGGCTGTCAGTTAACTTCCTCATGTTTGTAGCAGGCTAAATAACAATCTAGTTGAAAGTGTTTTGAGAAACATTTGAGTTGTGTTTGATTTGAACTTATAAATTGCTCTTCTGTAATGTCATGGTTTGTTTTCATAAAAATACAAATGAATTTTTAAATATACAGAAAAGAAATATGTGTAAAATATGTGAATGTTGATAATTTCTAATAAATAGTTTAAATTGCTCCCCCCCTTTTTTACACAATACCTTTATTTTATTTATTTGTTTTTATGTGGTGCTGAGATTCGAACCCAGGGCCTCACACATGCAAGGCAAACACACTACTAACTGAGCTACGACCCCAGCCCCTAAACTGGCCCTTTTATTGAAGAAAAATTCTTTAAGTTTTCTAAGCTTTTGTGAGATGGTATGTAAAGTAGTAGAAGGCCATCTAGTCGTTGCTTAATTTATTTTCTTGTTTTGCATTTCATGGTAAATGAGGTATTCTTTCTTACCATTTTGATGAAAATAACAAAAAAAACCCAAACTTGTTCTTTGGTTTTAGGTTCTTCTTGGAGAGATTTACACAGGTACCAGTGTGGCAAGAGTAATAGTGAAGGAGCTAAAAGCAAGTGCAAGCCCAAAGGAACAAGATGTTTTTTTGAAAAATGGAGAACCTTACTAGTAAGTAAGGCTTAACATTTGTTCTGTAAACAGTCTGTGGTCTTTTGAAAATCAAGTGTTTAGCCAGGCACAGTGGCACACTCCTGTAATCCCAGATACTCAGGGGGCTGGGGCATGAGCATCACGAGTTGAAGACCAGCCTCAGCAACTTAGTGAGACGATGTCTCAAAACATAATAAAAAGGGCTGGGGGTGTAGCCCAGTGGTAGTGTGCCCTGGGTTCAATCCCCAGTACCCCCTGCACTCTACCCCAGCCCACACAAAATCAAGTGTTTAAAACTGCTTTGAGGTTTCTGCATGCATGCATGTTTAAATAAGACTCTAAGACATCAGAGTCTCACAAAACCTCAGTTGTCTACATTTCAGTTGAAAATCATTTATTCATTCTAAGAACCAAGGAAACTCAACTTGAATAAGAGAAGGCAGAGACACCAACACTGAGGTGATAGAGTGGCAAGAATTATCTGGCAAGGACTTTAAAGCAATCATTACAATCATTATAGAAACGCTTCAGGGAACAAAAAAGTCAGAGTCTCAGCAAAGAAATGAAGACATAAAGGAGACCTCAGTGGAAATTATAGAACTGAAAAATATAGCTGAAATTTAAAACTCAGTGAATGATCTCAGCAGCAGAATAGGGAGGACAGAGGAAAGAATCAGTGAAGCTGAAGATAATAAGCATTGCCCAATTTGGACAACAGAAAGAAAATAGACTTAAAAAAAAATCAAGCCTCAGGGACACAGAGAACTATAACAACAACAAAAATTAACATTCATGTCATAGATTTCCCAGAATGAAAAGAGATGGGGCTGAAAAGGTATTCAAAGAAATAATAGCTCAGAATTCCCCAGATTTGGAAAAGACAAAATCTATAGATTCAAGAGCAAGTCCCAAACAGGATAAACACAAACTTTTTAAAAACTAAAGACAGAAGCTCTTGAAAGTAGGAGAGAGAAGTTGCACTTTACTGAGAGAGGAAAAGCAGTTTGAATGACACGGACCTCCTTGGAAATCCTGGAGGGCAGAAGGAAACAGGGTGGCATTTTTCAAGTACTGAAAGAAAGAACTGTGAAATTATATGTCCAGAGAAAATATGTGTTAGAAATGAAGAGAATATCAGCCCATTGTCAAACAAAGGAAAGCTAAAAGAGATTATTAGCAACAAACTTACCCTAAAAGAAAGCAAAAGAAATTTTTCTCAACAGAAAAGAAATAATTAAAAAAGAACTCTCAAAACACAAGGAAGAAGGAACAACAGAATGAATAAAATTATAGCCGAACTTCCTCAACTTGATAAAGAGTCCTATAAAAATTGCTACATCTGGCATCATGATTAATGGTAAAAGACTGAAAGCTTTTTACTCCCTTGTTCAGGACCACACGTGGATATTTGCTCTTACTGCTGTTATTCATCATAATACCAGAAACTGTAACTAACTCAGGAGAGCTGGAAAAGGAAATAAAGGCATATGGATCAGAAAGGAAAAACAAAACTGTCATTATTTGTAGATGACATGAGTTATGTAGAAAATCCCAAGGAATCTACACAACAAAGCTCTCCCAGAACTAAGTTGCAGGATATAAGATCAACATAAAAAAATCATTTGGGGACTCGGATGTAGGTCAGTGAGAGAGTTCTTGTCTAGCATGCTTCAGGCTCTGAGTTTAATCCTATGCACTGTTAAAACAGCTTTAAAAGTCAATTTTGTTTCTATAAACTAGCAATGAACATGGGAAAACCAAAATCGGGTGTGGTGGTACACGCTTGTAATCCCAGCGACTTGTGAGGATCCCAAATTGAGGGCCAGCTTCAACAATTTAGCAAGACCCTGACTTAAAATGAAAATAAAAAAAGGGTTGGGGATGTAGCTCATTGGTAAAGTGCCCCTGTGTTCAGTCCCTATTACCAATAATAATAATAATATCAAAAATAACATTCACACTTGCACAAAAATAAATGCCTGGGTACATGTGTAGGACTTCTGTGTTGAAAACTACAAAGAGCTGATGAAAGAATTCAAAGATCTAAATAAACGGAAAAACAGACCACGTTAATGGATTGGAAGACTCAATGTAGTGAAGTTCTTCACAAACTGATATATAAGTTATTGCATTTTCTATCAAAATCCCAGTAAGATTTTTAAAACACATATTTATTATAAGGTTAACTATAAGGTTATTATATGCTCACTTCAGCAGCATATATACTAAAAATTGAAATGATTCAGAGAAGAGTAGCATGGCCCCAGGTACAAGGATGACAGGAGCGGGGCGCAGTGGTGCACGCCTGTAATCCCAGTGGCTCGGGAGGCTGAGACAGGAAGATCTCAAGTTCAAAGCCAGCCTCAGCAAAAGCGAGGCGCTAAGCAACTCAGTGAGACCCTGTCTCTAAATAAAATACAAAATAGGGATGGGGGTGTGATGTGGCTCAGTGGTCGAGTGCTCCTGAGTTCAATCCCGGGTACCAAAAAATAAATAAATAAAATAAAATTCAATAGGAAACAAAAAGTAACAACAATCCAATTAGAATAATATCAAAAGACTTTGAGAGACATTTTACCAAAGAGGTAATGTGGATAGCAAGTTACCACATGAAGACATTCAGCATCACTGGCTACTAAAGTAATTAATATCACAATGAGATATCACTTTAGAAAAGCTGAAGTGAAAATGTAGTGACAATACCAAATGCTGGGAAGATGTGGGGACACTAGACTTCATACATTGCTGGGGTGTGTATACAGTTGTCCTCAGCATCTGAGGAGATCAGTTCCAGTGCCCCCACCCCCATGGGTACCAAATTCTGAGGATGCTCATGTCCTTTACCTAAAATGAAGAGTGTTTGAATATACTGTATGCATATCCTCCTGTATATTTTGAATCATCTGTAGATGACATAATATCCAATGCTGGTCACAATTGTGGTACTGTCTTGTTTAGTATTAATGGCAATAAAAAAAGACTGTAATCTTCAATACAGATGCAGTTTTTTCCTCCAGATAATTTTAACCCTTGGCTGTGTGTGTGAAAGCATAGCCTGTGGATATGGGGGAATGTTATATACATGGAGAGGTTGATTTTTAGGAATTGATTCATGCATTTGTGAATCTGCAGTGTGGCCAGCAGATTGGAGACCCAGGAAGAGCTGATATTAGGGTTCAAGTCTCAAAGCTGTGTGCTGGCAGAATTCCTTCTTCCATGGGAGAGGGTATTCTTTTTTCTACAAGGGTTTCAGCTAAATTGCTGAGGCCCACTCACATTATAGAGGGACCTGCTTTACTGAGAGTCCTCTGATTTAAATGATAATCTCATCCAAAAACACCTTCTCAGAAACTGTCCTGAATAATGTTTGACCAAATTATCTAGGCACTATGGCCCGGCCAAACTGACACATAAAATTAACGATCACCTTGTATAACCCAGAAGTTATACACATGGGCATTTATTCCAGAGAAATGAAAACTTAATGTCTGCCCAACAACCCTTCTGTGAGAGTCAAAGCACCTTTATTTGTATTAGCAAAAAATTGGAAAATTGACAATATCCTTCAGTAGATGAATGGGTAAACAAACGGTGGTATATCCATACAGTGTAATACTGCTCAGCCATTGAAAGGAATGAACTGCTGATGTGTGCTGCAGCTTGGATGATCCCAAGGGGATTATGTTGAGTGAGAAAATCAGTCTCAAAAGGCCACATACTGTATGATTCCATTTACATAATACAGGCTGAACATCCCTAATCAGAAATCCAAAATGTTCCAAAATCTGAAACTTGCAGAGTACCAACCAAGTATGATGCTGCCGATGGAAAATTCCACACCTAACCATATGACAGTGGCAGGGTGTGTGTGGTGAGTGTGGAACCGTAAATGAAGCTTTGTTGAAACTTAAGTCTCACTGTGTACATGCAGATATTCCAAACTTCAAAGAAATGTGAAACATCTCTGGTCCCAGTTATTTTGGATAAAGGAGGCTCAACCTATATTTCTATAATGAGAACATTATAGAAATGGAAGACAGATAAATGGTTGCTAGGGGACAAAATGAATGTGTAGCGCAGATCTTTGTGCCGATGGACTAGTTTTGCATCTCTTTTGAGGTGGTGGTCACAAGAATGTGCACATGTGACCTGGCGTGGAGCTGTGTGCACATGATGCTTCATCACAAGGCAGTTTCCTGGTTTTGCTGTTGTGCTGTAGGTATTGTGTCAGATGTCCCAGTGCAAGAGACTGGGTGAGGGGCACCAGACCTCTTATACTGACTTTGCAGTTTCCTATAAACTCATAATCATTTCAGAATGAGTATTTTTAAAAAATTATTTTGACCTGTCATTTATTTAACTTTATTTTTCTTTTGGAAAAATTATTTCCCCAAAAGAGTTTGTATATACTGTGAAAATTTATAGAAATGGTGTATAAACTAGATGGCCAAAGGAGAGACTTGAGTTATTTAATATTCAGATAGAAATGCTTTTTGAATTTGTGTATTTGTCTGCCTTTTTTTTAAATGCTGCCTCAGAATATTGTCTCCGAACTTAAATTACTGAAGAAAAATGTATGTTAGGAGTTCTTTTTTTAATTTGAGAAAATACTTGATTGGGTTTGGATTATTTAATCATTAGGTAATAATCTGCATCTGTTACATATAAGAGATCTTTTTACTTTGTCATGCTGTATTTAAATCATCATAAATGTGAAAAATTGAATTACTAGTACTATTTATTAGTTTTTGAAGCATACTTCCTGATGAACAATACCATGACTTTTATTTTTACTAGTATTCTTCAACATCCAAATATTCTTCAGTGTGTTGGACAATGTGTAGAAGCCATTCCCTATCTTCTGGTGTTTGAATTCTGCGACTTGGTAAGTTTTTAGTAGAGATTCCAGTTGAAGGTTTGAATGGTTATATCCACATGGGTTTGTTTTCCTTCCTTCCCTCCTTCCCTCCTTCCTTTTCTTTCTTTTGTGGTTCTGGGGATGGAACCAGGGGTGCTTTTCTACTGAACTCTATCCCCAGCCCATTTGGTTTTGAATCAGGATCTTGCCAAGTTGCTGAGGCTGGCTTTGAACTTACTATTCTTCTACCTAGTCTCCCGAGTCCCTGTGATTATAGGTATGTACCACCATACCTGGCAGTCAGATGTTTTTGACAGATATAAAATGGGGGGTTTGGGGCTGCTTTCATGTCTGTTCTAAATTTGAAGAACTTTGTGATGTATTGATTCATTACCTTTGATATTAACTTACACCTAGGTGAGTGTTTCATTGTACTCCAAACACTGTGCTGTTTACTTATAGTATCATATTCAGTAAAGACCCTTGTGTTAGATATGAATATTTGTCCAATCTTTACTTATGATTAAAATAAAGCTCAAGGGGTTTAAGAAAAATGTTGTGTATCAAGTATTTGGCTGAGTCAGAGCTTAAGATCTTCACTTCAACGAGACATTTGTAAAATTTGAATTTTCTACATAGGAAACCCAAGAATATTCCTTACCAATAAAACATCTATGATCTGTGTCAGTTGTTGAGAATAATGAAGGTATATAACATCAGCAGTTTTACAAATTTAGATAAAGCTAGGTGCGGTGGCCCACACCTGTAATCCCAGCGGCTCAGGAGGCTGAGACAGGAGGATTGAGAGTTCAGAGCCAGCCTCAGCAACAGTGAGGTGCTAAGCAACTCAATGAGACCCTGTCTCTAAATAAAAAACAAAAATAGAGCTGAGGATGTGGCTCAGTGGTTGAGAGCCCCTGGATTCACTCCCCCCCCCCCAAAAAAATTACATAAATATATTTTTTTATCTTTTAGCATAGTATTACTCATGGGGATTGATTGGTGTTTTGTACATTTTGTGAATAATTTTAATAGTAATTTCTACATGAAAGTTTCCTATAAACAGCTCTTCCCTTGTGCAGGATATTTCATCTTCTCTCAAATCTATTTTTAACACATAATTGTTATTTTCCAAAAACTGTGGAAGATGTTAATTGAATTTTCTAGGTTTTAATTGATTTTTTTTGTATCATCTCAGTTTTCAGAACATTTAAGCTTCTTGCCTGTGCTCAGAAACTTGGGAGTCCCCAAAATAAATCTCCAATTAATTCAGATAGCATTTCCAGCAGTTACAGTAGAAAGAGTGCAATAAACATGGTAAATTTTTTCTTTAATTCCTGCATGCGATTTGCATATCTCTCTCATTGGCAAAGATGGTTAATTCCAAAGGAAAATCAATTAGTAAGCTTGATGTATGAGCTTTTTTTTGGATTCTGCCTGTGACCCTGAGTCCCCACACCTGCGCTCACAGCAGTAAAGTAGCTTTCGCTCAGCTTCCGAGTTGGCTCTGTGTCAGCTGCGCTCTGTTCCAGACCACGTCCATTTTCATTCTGGGGTCAGTGATTTTTGTTTCTATGTGCTGGTGTGTGCACCTGTGCACACTCACAAACATGTATTGTGGTATATTTTCATATAGTGTTGTTGATGGAGCTTTGGATTCAAATTTGTGAGGTTCAAATCTCCTACACCCTTTTAATTTTTTTTTTTTTTTGAGGGGGTAAAGGGGTTTGAGTCAATTTTCTGTCAGTTACTAAGAGAGTCATAAAAATCTCCCCCCTCAACGATGAATTTTCATTGTTCTGTTTATACATTTTGATTCTTTGTTGTGTAAGGGAAACAAATTTATGATGATTTTATATGATTTGAAGTTTTTAATCATTGTGGTGGGGTTCTCTTTAAGGTTAAAAGCATTACTAACAACACAGCCTGTTGTTAATCTAGTTATGCCAACATTCTGATGGGCAGAGTTGACCTGTTTGGTTAGGTTCTTTATTAATCTTTTTTTGGGGGAGGGGCTAGTTTACTTCTGTCATAAATAGCTTTTTGTTAAAATTTTTATTAATCTTGCAATCTTGGTCACTTGAAATGGAACATGTAGTCTGTTTACATTTATTATAGTTAATGAGATATTTGGAAAATTCTCTGCCTATTTCTATTATTTTTCCTTCCTCCTACCGAGTTTTCTTTTTTTGCCTTCTTTTGGATGCTTGATTTTTCTTGTTTCAGTTTTCCCCATCTACCAGTTTGAATTTTAGAAATTTTCTTGATTTTATGTGTGGCTACACTAGAACTTGTAACATGAATACTGAACTTCGCAAAGTCTAGAATTAATCAGTATTTTAACTCTGCCCCAAAGAAAGCAGAACCTTGTAAAGGTTTCCTCCCTGTGAGGAAAACTGGAATTAAACCTACTTCTTTGGGGGCTGGGGAATGTAGCGTAAGCGGTAGCGCACT